ACATGAAGCTTACAACCCCAGTTGCGGCTTACGTTTGTATCCGGACCACCTCAACAGCTGACGTCCATCAGTCGTCAATCCACATTAGGCTGCCTTGGCTGATAGAAAGCAAACCCAAAGCTACCGGATACAGATATAAAATATAAGCCTGTACCTTCAGAGGAATTAGTGCTACATGTAAAAAAAAAAAAAAACTGAGTGAAAAAATAAGTTAAAGCTGTAAAATAAAATATATAGCCTATATAGTTAGATACCAATTTGTAAAGCAATTAGGTTAGAAAAAGTGTTGCTATTTCTGATCTTTGAAAATCATACTCATTACTGTTTATTACCAGTATATTTTATTTTGTAAGTTAAGCAAGAAGGTTATTAGTTGGAGTTGACCACAGTCAGTTAACATCACCTTCCTACTTTACATTTTCACTCAACATCTCTGCATTTCATCAACATTATCTATAAGCTAGAAAACCAGTAAGTTGTTGTTTAAGGTAAGATGCTTTAGTTAGTAAACATTAACAATACTTGGGCCATTTCAATTTCAACACAATAACCTAACCTACCTTCCAACTAAATATAGCAAAAAAGTAAGAAAGATTGCCTAAATAATTTAAGTGTTGAGATTTTGATTATCCAGGAGTAAATTAAATGACTTTTAATTGTGTATCAAAAATAAAAACATTAAAAAGAAGAAAAAACTGAGTTGACTTACAAAAAACCAAACATGTCTGTACGGTTTTTGTGTTTGACTAAAGGTAAAAGCTTGTCACTATCACAGCTTAAAGTTAAGGATGTTATAGAGTTATGGGATTCTTCTCAAAAAGACTCATTTAGGCAAATTGAGTTAAGAACAATTTGCTAAAATTAATAACTTTCACAAAAGCACAAAAACCGTGCATGGTTAATACTCTAATATGCACTTGTATTAAATTAGTAGTTACATTATATATTTTAGACCTCTATGAAGTATAAACCTAATAAACTATGTTTAGAATTTCATTTATGGTTTTAAACTTATTCGGCTAGGATTTACTTGGCATACTCTAACTGGAAAGTTACAAAAAAAGTGCAACTGAAGGTAAACTAGCTTTTTGCTTCCAAAGATGATCATACTTTATCATAGGATTCTTTCCAAAGGTAAGAATAACTTCTTTATATCCGTCAGATATGCAGAAATATGTAGAAAAACTTCAACTGTGGTTTCTCTGGTTTCCCTGAAGAGTTGCAATAACTTGGACAGGACAATGGATCACCATCTTGGATTTTGATCAATGTTTTTAATAAAATCTGTCACATTTTATTTGTTTTATTCTTCATAGTGATTGACAATCTGAAGGATTAGAATTTTTTGTTTTATATCTCTCTACATTTTAACTAATTGTTATTGTTTTTTAGACTAGAACTCTATAAAAACAAAGTTTTTGGAAGCTAGGGTAAATAGAAAAATTCACAGACTAGAGACTAGTTTTTGGTATAAAATACACCATGAAGATAATTGGAGACTATCAACATTTTTTGGTTGATTGATTTGGAAATATTAATATTGTATGACACTAGATCCCATTTGTCATATCATTAAATTATTAATCAGGTCGTTTGGAAAAAAAACAGGTTGAGCCTGAAAAAATGACAAACTAGTTTTTGCCCTTCCTCAGCTCTGTAACTGCAGTTTTCTATCTGATCGTATCAAAATGTTATGATGTCAATATCCGTGATTGTGGCATTACCAAGATCATCTCCTGTTATCACGGCAAAATTGAGAGCATAACCCACTCTAACGAAGACATCATCATCGTCTCAGAGGATCCCGCCAATATCTTGACGATTCCTCATGTTTGCAAAGATATCATTGTATCCCACAATACCGCCAAAACTAAGAGCATCTCTCGTAATTGCAAAGACATTGTGTTATTGTGATAAACAAATGTGAATAATAATGCATAGATAATTAAGAGTGTCAATTTAACAATACACTTTTTAGGAAACAACCTTATGAATTATCAATGGCAATATGTAAAATAAATCCCCCCCCCCAAAACTCCATGTGACTCAAGTGTGCTGCATTTTCCCCCCTCTCTGGGCACCCCTGGTTGAATCATATGTTACTTTTTCATAGATCTAAGAGTTTTTACAAAATTTCATTTTTTTAAATTATGGTCTGATTAAAAGGTTAATGTTCACCAGATTTCATATTGTCAGGTTTTAATGGCTTTTACTATAATTTTAAAGTTAAAAAGCATCTAACATCCTACAACACTAATAAGCATTACGTGCAGAAGGAATGTTACTGGGCAGGTAAGAAATACAACACAACAGAGGATATACGCAAACTATTTATTCAACATGCAAGTTAGATCATGCACAGCAGTGTGTAAACGTAAAGATAACAGTGAGGTCTGAGTTACTAATGTACAAGCATTGTGCTGACTATTCTAGCATTGACTACTTGTACTAACAAGCTACAGGTAGTCCTGACTAAACGCGATTGGGCAAAGAGCTTGGTAAAGCTAAACTGTGTAAAGCGAGTATTATTTATAGACTGCCCCCAGTTGAAAAATTGATTTAGAAACCCCTTTCAACAGAAACGGGACAAGAGATGAAACAGATGCATTGGATCACTCTTGTAAACCGGGATTGCGTATAGCAAGGACTACCTGAAGTATATTTATTCATACATTCTACATTACTGTCATAACAGCATGATGTAGCCCTAACATATTGGTGAAAATGTTTAACAATTGAGCTATTAGCCATTGAGACCAGCAACAGATTTGCATGCATTACAGAATATTCTGTAAAATAGGAATATAATTCAGGCAAAGACTATGACATAACGTCAAGTGTAATGGATTATTGGCTTAGAAAAGCCGCTGCCACAACATTTGTTATAGTAAATGTAAAGTACTTAGTACTGTCCAAATGTAACGTGCATGTAGAGGTTCTTTTATATTTGGGTGTAATGAATTATCAGTTTTGAGAATCATAGCAATTAATTATGATTGCAAGCAACAGCTGAAAAAGCCATTGCACCTTTCTAAGCAAACGTGATGCAATATTATGTTAATGCACTGTTAATCATAACATCAGGTTTCAGAAGTTTTATTGAATAGTGGTCAATGGAATTTTAAATTCCAAGAAGTTAAAAGTTCTATCCTCAAGTCTACTAAGTTAAGAAATGTGGTTTGCCCTCTTTAGTCAATGTTTATTTTAGCGAACAAAAGAAATAACAGTAGTATAGACATAAGAAATAATTTAATTTGGGATAAAAAATGTAGCATTTTCCTCACTAGTCTAGTTACCATTGGGAAAAGTAAACTTATCAAAAATAAAGTTTCGGTAAAAACATTTTGACATAACTTTTGAAATCTATTTTGTCTTGGTGTTTTTATTTTTTTTTTGCTGTGTTTATTCAAGCAGTTAAAAATATAAAGCTAAGAATTTATTTTCAAAGTGACTGTAAAATTATCACTTGAATGAAAATCCAACACAAACTACTGAAGTCATTAATTATTTTAGTGTATATTTGGATCTATGTAAACATAACTTTAACTTTCAGTAAAACCAGAAACATGAAAGTGTAAAAAAACTAAATATGGACCTGTGCTTGTACTGAATAAACATTTCTCAAGAGCAGTAATAAACAAGTTCTCAACATATTCTCAATATTTTCTATTCTTTCTAATCTTTTTCAAACATAAGTGTGATTTCTATGTTAGTGCCTCTCTATACTACTATCAATATCCTACTGTGCTGTGAGAAACGTTTAATTTATACTTAAAATATAAATCTATAAATACAAATTTTACACTAGCTAATATATAAAAATATCAAGTTTACAAAATTACAAATTATTAATAGTCTACATTTAAAACTATTCATAGCATGTATATATAGCTATATATATATGTATACATAGCTATATATGTATACATAGCTATATATATAGCATGTAGTATTCATCAACAAAACAAGTAAAAAATATACCGCCATAAAACCTTTGGTGTGTATATGTTAACCTTGCACTATTGTAGTGTTGGCTTAAAATTCTTTTTATGAAACTGTAAAAAAAATGGTAATGGTAACTATTGATCAGATCATAAAATAAATATTAGTAGTAGTCCTATATCTCACTATTAAGCCGTCTTACTAAATAAGAATAAGAACACAAATCTTAAAGTACATAGTTAAAATGAGTATCCCCTAGTATTAATTCTAAATTTATTTTTAAGGCCACTTAGGTGAAGTACAAAACTAAGCTAAGTATTGACGTTACAATTAATTAATTACATGACAACATTTTCCTTTAGCAACCATAAATTCCACGATTGAGAGGTTACAATGAGCAAAAAGAAGAAAAAACAGAGAAGAAATTCCAATGATTATGGTAATCGTCAAATTTAGGAATTTGGAGACTCGAATCCAAATCCTATGGTTAAATCCTGAATCTTGAATTCACGTCCCATTTTGATCAAAATGCAATTTTGAATCTATTTTCAATACACTTTATTTGATTTTGAATTTATTCTAAAACTTGATTGATTTTGTAGTTTTTTTAAACTGTTTACAACCAGAATTGTGGTAAAGTTGTGAACCTTTCAGCACTAGTATAGTTCACACAAACACAGAGAAGTAACACACACATGAAGAGGGTTAGAGATTAGAAGAAATGTGAGACTGATTGTACAGCAGAATAATGCCCACAATAACCAAGTACTAACTAGCTCATTTCACTTACTAGAATATCTTATCCTGTACATTTTACTTAACTGTCTACTAAATCAGCATTACCCAATATTGAGATTAACAATAGCTTACCATACTAACTGTGATATGAATGTGATGGACTGAGAACATAAAAATGGAATCAACAATCCATATCTCTTTCAGAACAGTCATACAAGGAAGCAGAAGATAATAATTGTAACAGTTGATTGTATGTGATGGATATGTCTTGTTGAGTCTAGGCTACAGTCGGGTGACATCTACATTGTCCAGGTACTCACCAGGGAGAGCGGTGACGTCTCCGCCACTAGACAGTCGTTGCGAGGCGTGTGTCGCGTGTCCGTTGGCATGGCCGCCGTGTGTGGTGGGGGGACTGGCTAGGGCCGCAGCCACTGCTAGATCCCGCCTCATCATCACATTCTCTTGCGTCGTCCGCTCGGCAGTTGAAAACTCACTGGTACGCCGGCCCACCTGTAACACAATCACATAAATTTACAGAAAATGAATGCTGATGTATTAGATTCAAAAGTGTTGTTTAGATTATCAAAACAAAAATAAGAATAAGAGAAACTAGTGGTAAGAGGAGTGTTGAACAATATAAGAAATAGTAAGAAAAAGAAGATGTTTAACACTGAAATAAAACATCAAACGAGGAAAAGGAGGAGTTTTATTTAGAGAGATAAGGAAAGAAGAGGTTTATGAGTACACCCAGGAACTTATTTTTTACACAAATATTGGTAGGATTGATTTTTTTCTAATTAGAGAAGTTATGAAATGTGAAAAAGACATTTAATGAAGCATTTTATAAAAGGTTGAGATATTGGCCAGAACTGGTAATTAGTAAGTGTAATGTACCTTCTGTTCAAAGGCCGGCTCCTTGAACAGTCCGAACGGCCGCTTGGGTAGCTCGTTGGAGGGAGGAGCCCCTGCATAGTCAAGCTTGGCTTTCCTCAGCTCATCCATACACTTCTGTAGACTCTCCATTGTAACGTCTTCCTCAAACTCATAACTCTGCTCTAGGTGAACCTGCGGACCACACTCATGCTGCCTCATACATCCTCGGATCACAAGTCAGTGAACCATGGAACTTCCAGGTCTGAATTCATGGTCATGAAATCATCCTTTTTTTAATTTGGGTGTAACCTGAATGAAGTGAACTCATACCATCACTTTCCACAAAATAATTTCCAACATTATTTAAAATGAATAATAAATATTTTCCCCCAGCAGAATGAGTTGCAAACTCTTATCCTACTTCAAACTAATTTGAAATTGTAATAGAATAATTTTTACTCAGTGTAATTTAAAATAAAAGTATTATCTTCGTAAGGGTAGGAATATCAATATCATTAGCTTTGATCATTATGTGCAGGCCTAACAATTCACCCATCTGAGCTCAGTTGAGTAAAAACCATCATGCTTTCACCTTCCCAATCCATAAAACTGTTACCTATTTGTTAGACAGGTCCTTTGTATATACCGTAGTAAATTTAACCTCCAACTCCCAGCTCAAACAAAATCAGCCTAACATTATGTGTCATATTTGTGAAATATCATGTGGACTTTGTATGACAAATAAAGCAATACATTACATTTCTACCAGCAGTAAGCATGATTTTGTGACAGAATGAGCCGAGTGAAGTAGGCAAGAATAAAAGCAAAATAATCAATAAATACTAAGTTAAATTTTTAAAAAGGTTAGAAAAATTTAATTACTAGAAAAATGTAACAGATTTTTTTCGGTAGATATATTTTAACAACTAGTTATATTAGTTGATGTTAATACACAATCCATTACTGAAAGTACATTAAGTATACAAAAAAACCATTACTTGTTTTGAAATATCTAAAAGTTGTTTATTTAAATGTTGTCGTTCATGGAAGATAAAAGAAATATTATTAACTGTAGAATTCACAGATCTTTGAATAATGGTTATTTGTGCGTTCAAGATGTAGGCTATCCGAAAACAGACGGCGTTTTCATTTCAACTTGAACAATTTTTTTACTGCCAATCTTTGTCAACATTACAATCCATATCCAGCAGGATTTGTAATTTGTTTAGACCTTTAATTTAAAGGTTGTTATCTTAAAATGTTTATTATTTTATCATTTTATTTTATTTCAACACTAAATTCAATTTATTTGTTAATCTTATTTGATTTCATAGCTTAGAAAAAAGGTTACTTGTTGTAGTAAGACTGAAAAAACAAGCATGGAAAAACTTATAAATAAATAAAAGAACTATTTACTAAAAGTACCGTAACTCAAAAGTCTTCAAAGAGATTAATGCATGAAAGATAAACTAATCAAAATAAAATAACAATAGTTCAATATTCATAACAAACTATTACTAAGTAGGCCTAATAAAAAGAGTTTTTACTATTTAGAGCATTGTTTTGTTTATTTTATTTTGTTGTTTTTGCTTTGGTTAGGTATCAGGTTTAGTGTATGTGGTATACTGACATTACTATTTCATTTGGATTGCCACATGTTCATGTTACCTTACTCGGTATTTAATGTTTATGTACCTCACTTAGTATTTAAAAGGTATGAAACATTTAGTCAGTTTAAATTCTGGATTTCCTCTATTTCCAGATTAAATGCATACTTTTTTATAATGAAGGTACGTAACATTGATTTATTTAGTTGTTTATTGTTTACTTTATGTTGTCATTAAACCATACTTTGAACTGTATTATATGTACTAGAAACAGTACAGATCCTTGACGTGGACATGATTGTTTCATTAATAAGAGTAAGTCCGTAATGTTTTGCTTAAAATCTCATTTAAATTTTTTAAATGAATAAAACCCTACAGATTTTCTGGTATATGAGTACATGCTATCATCGTTGAAGACATTTGGGCCACACTTAAAATAAATGAATGTAATGATGCGCATGATGCGAGGCCATACCTGGTACATGCCTACCTGCAGGTACTGCAGTATATCGTCCATGCCTCGCTTGCTGAGGTTACGTCGGTGCATCTTGAGTATGTTGTAAGCCATGGCCGTCAACACACGTTCCCCCTCCAGTAGATACACGTCCCACACCCTCAGTGTCAGCTTGAATGGTATCTGGACAGAACAAATCTTGAGCTACTACGAGTCTATAAAACTCGTGTCAAAACCAAAACTTAAATCCACTGGAAATCAGGAAAAGTTTCTGTTTTGACATTTGATTTGGCGAGTAAAAAATCAAAACTTATAGAGGCCCAACATTGTTTTTAAAAGAAATCACACCTGTGTTTCTTTTAAATGAGAAGGTCACAAACGTTGTCATCAGTCATAAATCTTTGATAGCAAAGTCTTATTGTTAGATACAAAATAACGCTTCTTTTCCTCACTAAAATAAAATCCATTATCAAGACTTTACAAGTCAAATTAAATTTACTTAGCATTTTATCACTCACAGAATATACAGATAAACTGTCATTCACATTAGTGGATTTTTAGCTAATTTAAAGCACTTAAAAAGGTTTACTATTTAATGTTATGTGTAAACTATTGAGTTAAGTTTGTTTCTTGAACCAGGGTGGACTGTTTCCCATTCAGATGCTTGCTACCCCAACAAGTATCCTTGAAACTATTGTTCTATGTTACATACTTAAGCTCAAAACTTATAATAGTTATGATAAAATACATTAATTGATTTGAGTCTCTGACAGAATACTAACCCTGTCTAGGAAACACTGAAAGAACCACTTGAGGGTGTAGATGCCCGTGTCTACTCCATTCTTGTCTAGATGTTTCTTCAGTTTGGGGAGGAACTTGTTCATGATCTTATCATGATGCTCCTGATACCTCAGTAGCTTGGGGAACCCGGGAATGAAGAAACCTGGAAACCATTCAGGGTGTAGTATGCTATTTGCTAAAACCATTGTGCAGAGGAATTTATATAGACAGCAAGAGAATGGTTGCAAATATAGGAACCCTTTAACAGTCCATCAAAGACTATTGAAGGTCCCCCAGCAAAATTTAGTTTTATGAGACTGCAGGCATAATAGATCTAAGGAGCAAAAGTAGCTGGATGATACAGAGCCCAGCCAATCAACACTGGCAATTAAATCATAACAAAGACTTCCATCAAAAGGGATTGATAAAGAAATATTCAAGAACAACAATCCATGATAGTTTAGTTTGTGGCCTCAAGCAATATAACTCTTATGAAAATCCTCTGATTTTGATGCTTTTTAGATCAAACATGCAACATGATTTTAATCAATTTATGAAAGTTGGTTGCTCAATAATTGGTCGTGTGACAAATTGTGAAATCAAGGCGGCAACGGGTGTGTCCCAGTGCCTTTCTCAAAACATCCTAAATCATTAAGATACCCCACTTAATCAGTGCCATTTATTCTTGTACTGTATCGGCTAACCCACCAAGCCAGCTTTGCTTAGTACATTGCAGTCACAAGCCTTGAGGTCCATGTGAAAGGGAAACGCAAAATCGAAAGTGACTGCCAACCTGTAGGTTTTAGCTACACTAAAAATAAGGTATAAATATATATACCTATGGGCTCCTTACAGTCTTCGCAATCCTTAAGTTATAGCACTACAACCGTTTCGGAGATCAGTCCATCGTTGAGTGCGTAGTCGTAGTACACTGAACTAAAAAACACTTGTCCATATTTACATTTTTACGGCATTTCTTCATTTTCATTGCATCAAAGTTTAATTAACACTACATATACAACACAAAACACGAACTTGACAGGAAAACATTCAAGCACGTGCATGGCTAAAAAACTGACGACCGACTGCAGTTGTCGTGCTCAATCAGTTGTAGTGCTATAACTTAGGATTGCAAATACTGTAACTAGCCTATATTTATACATATTTATATAAATATCTGCCACACTGAAAAATCATAAATATAAGGATCAATCATAAAATTTGTGACAAATTGAATAAATAATTAATCTAATTTTAAATGCAATTGTGAACTTACCATGCATATTGAACTTTCTATCACTAACAAGGATGGAGAGGGCCCAGAAAGCGTCTTCTTCATTCAGGTACATGAGCAACAGCGCGGCGATCTGACTCATGCCTTGACAGTAGCCGATTTCAAGGTTGTAAACACTGTAGGCACCCAGCACGTTGAACAGCTCCTGTTGTTTGATATTGTACCTACAATCAACACATTGGTTCATACAGAGTTGATAAAAAACGGTTTTAAACACTGTAGGCACATAGCACGTTGAACAGCTCCTGTTGTTTGATATTGTACCTACAATTAACACATTGGTTCATACAGAGTTGATAAAAAAACGGTTTTAAACACTGTAGGCACACAGCACGTTGAACAGCTCCTGTTGTTTGATATTGTACCTACAATCAACACATTGGTTCATACAGAGTTGATAAAAAAACGGTTTTAAACACTGTAGGCACACAGCACGTTAAACGGCTCCTGTTGCTTGGTACTGTACCTACAATTAACACATTGGTTGATACAGTGTTGATATAAAAAGAAGGTTGTAAACACTGTAGGCACCCAGCACGTTGAACAGCTCCTGTTGCTTGGTCTTGTACCTACAATTAACACGTTGGTTGATTTAGTGTTGATATAAAAAGAAGGTTTTAAACACTGTAGGCACCCAGTACGTTGAACAGCTCCTGTTGCTTGGCATTGTACCTATAATTTACACATTGGGTTGATACAGTGTTGATATAAAAATAAGGTTTTAAACACTGTAGGCACCCAGCACGTTGAACAGCTCCTGTTGCTTGGTATTGTACCTACAATTTACACGTTGGGTTGATACAGTGTTGATATAAAAAGAGTTGTATCAAATAAACAAAAAAGCCTGTATAGTAGACTCCCTCTTATCCGGACACCTTTTAACCTGACTACACTTGGTAGAAGTGACATCTCTTTATCTGGATAATTTCTGTCAGCACATCGGTTTAACCGGACTAGATCGGTCCTGAAGAGTCCGGATAAGAGGGAGTCTACTGTATAATAATTTAGTTTTAACTTGTTATGCTTTTTTGACAATGTCAGCAGTTTTTTACAGCTTTGCTGAACTTTTAAAAATATCCTGCGACAGTGATACATACATGATACATGATGTCTCCGTCCGTAGTCCTTTGTCGTAAGGAATTCAACAGGTCAGGGTTATTACAAAGAATAACCTAACTTAAACTAGTTTTTGTCACCGTTAATGTAACTGTATATGTGATGGAAGATTGACTCCACTAGATATTTTTTTTTAATTCTAGTTTAAATTTATTTAAGCTCTGAATTTCAAGTAATTTTTCCAGTACGGCCTGCTACAATTTCATTACAATGTAATCTGGTTTGTGTTCAAATGTGGTGAGTTGGTGTTGGACTGCATGTGTGCCCTTTTTTCGGGTATTGTAAGTGTGATTTGTAAAAAGTTGGTTTGATGTTCTGTGATTTTATGTAGCAAACTGTTCTAAGATAAAAAGTGAAGGGACTGTGAGAAAGCCAAGTTCTTTGCAAACATTTCTGTAGCTGGTCCAAGGCAACGGCATGCTCATGATTGCTCTAACTCTCTTATTCAGCCAAACAAAAAAACTGTTCAATGTTTTTCTTTACAGCTCCCCACAAGATGAATAAATACAAAATGTGTGGTTATATTAGAAGTTTGGAGAGGGCCAGTTTTCCGAAGGTCCTTAACCTTCAAAGAACAAAGACCCCTCGAGCCAATGACCCTTCCAGTTTTTTTTTTATTTGTGCGTCCCAACTCAATTTATCATCCAATCTCATTCTCAAAAATTCGGTAGTTTTTGAAATTTTGATTTGGTCCTCTCCAATGAATATGTTCGGAGTCTTATTATTTTTTTTTTTATTTTGTCTGTTTGCAGTTTGGATATACATGTATCATGTTTTTTTTTGGGGGGGGGGGGGGGGAATTTAAAATGATATGAGTTTGTTCAAAGAGAAAAGGTCAGCCAAATTATTTGCTCTTTGATTAGGTTCTGCCTCCAGGGCCACGTTGTCAGTTCCCTTTAGGAACAACGCTGTGTCATCCGCAAAGAGATAGACGCTGCTCTCCGGAACAGTATCTGTTATGTTATTAATGTAGACCAGGAAAAGGAGAGGTCCAAAGACTGATCTCTGCGAAACGCCATTGAAGATGGATTTTGTTGTTGATGAAATTCTTTCAGATTTTGAATTTGTTTTGTTGAATTTCAGTAAATGGAATCAGTTGCTCATATAGGATGTGAGCCACTTCAGCATTAGTCCTGAAATTCCAATTGATGCCAATTTTTTTCAGTAAAATCGCAGGTTTGACTCAATGAAGGCTTTGGAAAGATCAGCAAAACAGCCAACTACTGTTTATCCAGCCTCCCTTGCATCTATGCTGCTGTTGATGAAATCAATGAGTGCACATTTTTTTTTATTTGTTGGGCCTGAAACCATATTGTCTGTCACAAAATATGTTGTTATTTTACAAGGAGTTTATAAGTTGCTCCAAAAGAACTTTCTCAATTAATTTTGAAACAACTGGTAGGATAGAGACTGGATGATAATTCCCTGAGTCGTTTCTGTCTGAATCTTTGAAAAAATTATTTAATTTTTGTATTTTGCAGTTTTGCAAGAAAATTTTAGAAGCCAATGAAACGATTGATTTCCAAGAAATAAACTTGAAAGAAGTCAAACAACTCAAGACTAATATATCATGTTGGAGTGTTGCAAGCCTAGTGGTTACAGTCTCAAACATCGGTTTGTGTGACTTATTTTATCTCTGGAGTATACACAACCGTTTGAGGGTATTGGACTACTTTTCCTTAGAAGAATTCTGCAATTACAATAAAACATCACTAACTCAACAGTCAACAGCTGACACAATTTTTTTCAGAATATTTAGTTTTAATCGTTGTATATTTGACATTTCCTTAAATATTGTCTACTCAATATGTATACATACTCATGTAAGTAATACATTTATGTGTAAATATTAGTCTGCTGTGTATTAGTTTATTAAAATCCATTAAAAATGTCAATGCTCTGGATAACTCGACAACCTCTAGGTCCACAAATTGTCGGGTTAGTTAGGTTTAAATCTAATAATGCCACAGGCGTAGACACTTACACTTAAGGCGCTTTAGAGACATGAATTATATACTGACTCACCTTTCCCTAAACATGATGTTATCCCTGTACGTCCGGTTCACGTCCAGGTCGATCTGTCGGATGTCTGGAGACCATCGCCACGCCAACTCGCGCATCTCCTGTCAACAACAAGCACTAGTTACAGCTGGACGAATTCCATACTCAATCAAACAAGCCTAAGTAATTAACTTACAGTTTGAGATCCAATGTCTGATATATCGGATGTAAGACTAACACAACCAAACGTCCACTTACAGCCATCAATTCAACACAAAAAACAGCTGAAAGCTATACACCTGACATGCGCTGTAACCTATAATTCAAGTTTAGGACTACTACCGTACCCTTGGACTTTTATTTCTTACATCTTTGAGTACTATTAGTGAGGTAGACTGTTAACCCTTCCCGAGCGTTGGCCGTATATATACGCAACTCAATCTAAGGTCACAAGCGTACGACGCATATAGGCTATATGTCAAAACAATTTACGCATTTCAAGTTGTCTCTTGGCCGTCAACAGTTACCTTAAGCTATTAATCAATATTATTTTTGCGATAACTTTTTTTAATTTTTTGTGGTAAATTTCTGATTGGTGGGTTGGCATCACTGATCTCATAACAACTGTTGTTTACAAAACCGGCCGGCTGAGTCATCCTCGTTATTGTTTTACACAGACAGTCTGTTTACTTGTTCTTGAGTGAAGTAAATCTAGTGAGATAAGATGAGTGGAATATATTCAGTGCATTAGAATGTGTTGTGTTGTTTATTGAAAGTGGCGTTTTGATTGAATAATCCAAATTAATATTTTGTATTGTATTATGTAGTCTGTATTGTCTTTTAGTAATAATAAATAAGTCATATTGTTATTATAATGATTTGTTATTTCATTAACAGTTTATTAAAAATAAATATTTTTCCTAAACAAAATTTACAAGCCTTAGGCGATATATTCGTATCAATGAATTCCTAAGCGAGCGTTGGACTTATATATACGCCGCAACAATTATGGTCATAAAACTTGTAAACAAATTATTTTGATAAAAAATGTTGTCTTAAACGACAAGATAGATCTGGAAAAACATCAAAATTTCAAAATCAATTTTTTTACCCCCAATAAAAAATTATTGATGATCCCTTAGTGGATTGGACTTTGCCCTGCCCCTGCAGCGCCGCTCGGGAAGGGTTTAATCAGAAGCTGAACTAGTTTAAGACATTGTCTCTCCGGCCAGAGGTCAGCACAGTAAATGGAGAGGTTGAGTACTGTCTCAGTCAGGTCTCGTGTGCAACTAATCTTGATGGTTCTGAAATGTACCCAGCTGCCCTTGCTCATTGGGTTTTGAAGAAATGGTCTAGCTACAGAACAAGCCAATCTCAAAGACAGAGCTATTCACTCATCCTTCAGTAATTTTTACCTTAAAATTCACAACCTGGTCTGTCAGAATCGTACAGTGCAAATTAAATCTAATGGATTTTTTTAAAATACTTAAGCATTATGTTTAATTTAGAGCATTTACAATTCTGTCTACCCACAATTTATACATACAACAGATAAAGGCATATAGCTACTTTAGTTCTAAAAAATACAAAAACGGTCCAAATTTTGCTTTTTCTTTAAAATGTTGTAATAAATTAGAATGGTTTCACAAGTTTCAACCAGAAATGTATTTGAGTATATTTTTTTTGTTTATTGGTTTTCACGGTATGTTATAAACAGGTTGATTACAGTATGTATAATACAACTAACTTTTTGAGACGTATGCCACATTGGAGGAAGGCCAGGAGACAGCTGTACTGTTAATATTTAAAATATACGATACAGATTGTGATTAAATTTAAACACAACATCCTTGTGAATCATAAGATTTTGTGATGAGAGATGTTTTTAAAATTACAGTTAGGGTTATGTTGAGGGCCTTGAAATTGCCATGGTATATTTCTTATTTGTTTTTTATTTTATAATTTTCAGTGTGATATTTTATTTTAGATACTAGCAGAGTACCCGTCCTTCGTACGGGGTTGGCATGTAAGTATAAGTGACATTAGCGTATGGTTTGACAGCTCCATTTAAGTAATGTTAATAAATAATGTTTACATTCAGGATAGTGACATCATTATTTTAAATATGATCCTTACCCTCTCTGTTCTAATATTCATGCAGTATTTAAATGAATGTTTGAACCAGCTGTATGGAATTGTGAAATCAAAATTAATATGACAGTTAGTACTGCTTGTTTACATTTTTAAACTTTGTAGGTTTGTTCTTTGTTGTCATGGATACCATCAATCAAAATTTACTTTGAAATCTCTCACCTCCGATTTTTGAAAGCCCACGGGGCAGAGCCCGAGGTCAATATCGAAGCGGGAATAGTTCTATATGTATCCTCGGAACTGTAGCTTCATGTGTGTGCAATTTGAGCCCAATAGGTTCAGTAGTTTTTGAGATTAGCTCATACAAACACACACACAGACACCACCTCTTCTTTATAATAGTATAGATAGATAGATTATCATGATTTTATAACAGGTGTAGTTTTTTATGAAAATGAATCCTTCAGATAATTTTTTTTTTTCAGTATGATATTTACTGACGTGACTTTATCAGTAAATATCATACTGAAACAAAGTTTATTTTTTATCTGAAGAATTAATTTTTATTTAAAAAAACTCAAACATTTTTGTTTGGCTACGGCCTTGGCTAATACTTGGCGACAATGTCGCGGTGACATTGAATGAAAGTGTATAGTAATATATAATACTCTAACTAGGCCTATATGATTTAATTTGTAATAGATTCGCTTAAATCGTATAATACTGCAAAAAAGGTATTAAAAAAATCAACGCAATCTAAGGCCTAATCCAAAAACATACAAAAACTGTTATAGATCCTTACGTATTGTTATAATCAATTACACTATTTTGATAATAGGCTATAACATCTCGAAGCTCTTTACTGGTATGGTAAAAAGGTCAACTGAAATGTTGAAATTGTCAACTAGTGTGGCCCACCCGAGCAACTTTGTCGTCGCCACAAAGTCGCCAAGTGTGGCCCTAGCCTTATAGCATTGACTATTGGATGCAGAAGTTATGTTGTATTAATAGTCAATAGTATCATGAAAATATGTAAAATACAATGTCATAACACATAGAAAATGCTAAAAAAAAAACAAAAAAAAACAGTTTAATGTGAAAACTAAAGAATAGATAGTCTATGCATGTGTGTTTGGTGAGTGCAAAAACTACTGAATTGACTGGGCTGGAATTGTACTAAAAGATAGATCATAATATCCCTGATAAACAAATGCAATTGTGTCATCAAAATCCCCGCTGGCCTATACTCCATGGATGTCCAAAGGTTTGAAGTAGAGCTTTTGGAAGTAAATATTGATTGGTCTCCTCAGCGTTTGCAAACAGAAAAGCCACAATCTTTGTTTCTATAATCACTCATAAGTGAGTGACTGTTTCCTGCAGTAGTTGGCCAACCCACATTGTCTCACTTCTCTGTCATTTTCCTGAGGTGAAGCATAGGTATATCAACTAACAACTAGTAGGAAATAATTGAAGTATATTGAGAAAAATACAGTGTCACAACTTTTCAAATTTACTTATAGATTTTGTAAATAAATTAGATCTATATGTCAAAGAAAAAGGGTAACCATCAGACAGATAGGCTAGTTACCGTTTGAAATCAAATTTTAAACTGTGTTTACAACATTTGTGATTTAAAAAAATGTTCTATTTGGTTTTACAACGTTGGAATGATTTAATAGTCAAGATCATGTGAAAGCTAATGCTGTTAACAGGTGGTCCACAGGTGTGCATTAGCTTATGTTACACATTTTTACTCACAATATTAACTTGAGCTAAACCCTCTGCACATTCAACAGCTTACGATTTACATACTATACTGTTTCTTTGGGAAACCTAATCATATTGTACTTGGAAAAACAAATCAATTGGCATTAATAAGACCAATTATAATTTTACCATTAATAGTTAATGAATCATCCGCAATTCAACAGAGTTTAATAACCAAACGTAATAATTTCAAAAAAAGATACAAGAAAAAAACAAAACACAAAGAGTAAAGAATCAACATCTGTTTGTTTTGTAAAATTATATATTTAAAAGATAATGCTTTGTAAGATGATGTACGTACATGTTATCAACAGATAACAAACTATCCAAACTATCTTTAACTGCCTGCTAAGAAGTAAAAACTAATGTTTTTTAACACATTTTTTCCCATTTCCAATATCTTTCAACACGCAGAAATGCAATACAAAACATTTGAATAATCTATCTATCTATATTATTATATATGTATATAATACGCTAAGACGATTTTTTGTAAACAGAACTCCTTCCTCATTTTTGGACCGATTTTGATGATTGAAGTGTCAAAGAAATGGCCTTGATCTGTAGTTTTGCAAAGTGTTTTTCAATTTTTGAAATCTTTATTAGTTTGGGCAGGATCTTCCATCAAAGTTGGGTTTTCTCCCATAAGATTAACATGGGGGAATCTAAATATTTAATTGGAAACGTTGTCTCCACTAATTTGAGAGAACGGCTAGGCGTATAAACTTGATAGAGGTGTCTAAAGAGAGGTCTCGGTCTGTAGATGAGCCATCAAAAGAAAAACAAAGTAAATTCCCTTAGGGCTCTGCTCCAGAAGCTTTAAAAGATCCTTCCACAGATTTGTTTATAGTAGGACACAAAATTAGTCCCATGTCTGCAGGTAGAGTGGACCCGTCCTAATCCTGCTCGTCAAAACAACGCTATTGTTGGGAGCTCGGCGATGCAGGCGGGCTGGGAATACCGGTCCTCCTCGCCTCGCTGTTCCTAGAAATTCCGCGTCCTACTACAATTTGCATAAATTGAACCATAAGACTTAGAGCATCATGCGAAGACTCATTTTGTTCGTATGAGAAAGAGGAATAAACACAATTTTGAGTGAACGCTCTAAGATTTCCCTTTACCGAGTTATCAGGTCAAGGAGTTAGTCTCGGTGTATGAACCTGCTGTGGCCGGGCGCATTGGGAAAATCCAGAGCCAGAGCAGGTTCAATAGCTAAGCTCCAAACAATAGTGTTGTTTTGATAAGCAGGATTACGACGGGTCCACTCTACCTGAAGACATGGGACTTTAATTTTGTGTCCTACTATACATTTTGGCCATGTGGATAATACTTTTTAATTAAACCGCTGTTAATTTTTAAATTGTATTGCAAACAACACACATTTATTAGGAGTTACTGAATTGTCCAAAAGAAGTATTTGCAATGTTATTTTCTGATTTTAAAATTGATTTTCATCTAGGTATCATGTCATGTTTTGCAATATAATGTTCCATTACGAAATAAGTGGAAAATTCCTTTCATCACAGTAACTCTTACAATTATTTCTTATTCAACTATCTTATATCTGTTTTATGGGTTGGTATCTGCCTTTTCACAACTTTTGCCTATATGTTATCATATTATTCTAGACAGATCATCACAGGTTCATGAGATTATTGTCATACATGTTTTCAATCATTGGAAGAATCTTCGATTGTGTAATACAATACATACAAAATAATACAAGTGCAGAAGGGTACATTGCCCATATGAGCCGTGTCCATATTTTGTTAAATTAATAGTGGTTTACAGCAACTGGATTCATTTCTGTATAATGTTTATGAAGAAATATATGCATGATTTAGAAAGTCATTAATGTGCAAAATTACAATTTATTGCAGACTTTTTATAGATGTTACTTCGATGTATTCATTCAGCTTAGTGAAAATATAATAATATGGATATGTATACAAATACGAACTTGGACTCTTAGAGAGCCTTTGAATGTTATTAGACTAACGAAAAGGGTTGTGCATGTTTACTAGCACTACTCAGCAACAAAAACCATTAAATTTATCTCTAAAAAAAATATTCTTAAAGTACACTGAGCAGCAGCCTAAAGAAATCTACCCATATAGTAACAAAATGCTCTAACTCGCATTGTGGCATTCATAATTCAGCTTATATTTCTCCAACAGATAATTCGTCTGCAGAAGAATTTTATTGTACTCTTACCACGTCTAATAACATCCAAACACAGAAACCTTGCCTGAAATGGTACCTATCTTGAAAAATTATTTGCAGTGACCTATATTACGGACCGTGTCCCACTGGGTCGGTAACATTTTATTGAAAATAACACGAAATTTTAGCTGTAAAAATGGCCCAATGAGTAAATACTATTTAAGCAGCTACTGTCATGACAGAAAGATCATATTCCTTTTAAACTAGATCACGTAATCCTTTATCAGATACGTTGATTAACAATGCATGTAAACGTCAATATTTATGTAACAGCCAATTTACAGTATTATTGCTTTTTGGAAATGCCACATTGCTATGTCATTTGCATTATTTGTTTCCAATGAAGCCGCATGACCATATATAAACGAGGAGGCCCCTAACAGCTCAAGAATAAAATCCAACTTCACTTCAAGTATATTCCACTACATTTAACATTCTGTAGAGAGATTATATTGACAACTTTATGTAACTGATAAGGCTGAGACAACTAACTGACATCCCCCATGTCAAGGAATTCCAGCTTTAATAGTAAGTAACCCCACAACCAATTTCTAAAAACTGTGCTAGAGGGTTATTCATTAGCACAGAAGTACGATATGAACTGACGCGAAGTGACGAAGGAAAAAACAAACTTACACTGTAAAGGATATAAGTCCCTTTGAAGTAAGAACGTGTCTTACCAACAAACAGATATTTTCTTCTCAAATAAAATCATAGATTAATCTGCATTACACTGATGAAATAACAGAAGTGTTTAAAGAGCAAAAGATCCGCCAATACGATTTTAATACTATTTAAAAGTTCTTCCAAAGGAAGAGATACCAGATAACATACTAATAATAACTCTGATGACATAAGGTATGGGAAATATTGTATTCATTGAATGATCAACCAAATTTGGTATCTAACGTAATTAATATCAATAGGCTACTCTTTAAACAATGCTTAATGCTCAAAATGTGTATAATCATTGAAAATTTAACTCAATTTAACCTAGTTGGATGAATTAGCGTAAGCCTTGAAAGTAACTGTCGATTTCTACGGGTTTCACCTAGTGTTATTCATATTGCTTTCTACAATTACTACTATGTAATTAAAGTTCTCGAATCCTAAATGCTTTTTATTTTTACAATCAAAATAATTATCCAGGGGCGGCTCCAGGAATATTTTTTTTTTGGTAGGCATGACAAGGATCAAGTTGTTTGATAAGGGTACAAGAGGTTTGAGTGGGTTCTCTGCAAAAAGGGAGGGGGGTTTAAAAATGTTAATTCAAAATAATTAGTTTTAATGCTTTTCCTTTATTTACATATAGGCTAATTAAATGCCTTTATTTACTTATAATTTTGAAATATCTACCAAACCTGGCCTATCCTCTGGAGCCGTCCCTGTAATTATCCCATTTTAAAGTAAGTAATTTTTGATAGGGCGTAAAGACTGAAATTAATATTTAATATACATCTTTAATTATGAGCTCATATCACATGAAATTCTTATCTTTTGTTGGACCTAAAAAGGTGAGCTTTTTATTTTTCTTATTGATTAGTGAATCATACATTTTTTCCAGATGATTAAAGTTTTTTGTGATCTTTTGACATTGAAAAAAGATAATTTTTATTATTATTTCATATGAAATGTTGACTCACTGGAAAGCAGTAATTTCTACTGTTTAAGTGTAGAAGAAGAAATAATTAGTTTACAGCATAAAGGCAAAACTCAATGCTAGGTTTACCATGTCATCTACCTATAACCTTTTGATAACATAAACATAACAATCTTCCTAGAATAAACGGAACAAAAACTGATGTTTGAAACATCATTAATGTTATCATCAGAATAATAATCTTCAAACAAATGCCACTAAAATACAAAAATTAAGTTCTGAAAAACTAAAATAACTCTGAATAACCTCTAAGAAAAGTATAGACCGACAACAAAAACCCTATAAAAATCAGAATATAAACCTTAGATAAGTTAACATTTATAATTAAAATGTAGTACAAGAAATTAACTGGTGAAGGTCAGAACAGTTGTGAGGCAATTGACTCCATCTTACCTTCCATCCCACTCTAATGGCCTGGACAAACTGTGACAGATACAATATCTGACAGTTGAAACCATGGTGTTGAAAACCTGACTGTATAGGCCTAATATATTACAAACGGATTATTGAGTGCATTTTAATACACCCAACTATAAAGGACACAATATAATATTAACGATTGACTCTTTGAAGTCCAACGCTTATTCAGTAATTTAATTGTGTCTGTTTTATCAAGTTTTCTCAATTAAGCACACAACAAATCCAAATTATCTTAAAATAAGTCTTTAGTTTTAATATGTTATTTTGGAGTGCAATCCTAGTTTCTGAACACATTAAAGTAGGCATATCTATTTGTTAAAATGTGACCTTAACCAAGATTCCACTTACAATATTATCTATGCAGGATGTCATTTTTATGGTATAGCCTCTGGATCACTGATTTTTACAATAAAAGGGTTAAATTACCTGTATCTGTCAAGTGATCCTAAATTGCAGTCATGACCTACCTTCTACCAGCGCCAGATGTGTCCGATATCTATTTAAACTACGGGTTATTCGTATTTGTGTTTTGGCCATATTAATGTCTAATGTTTTGTGTACGTGTAAGTGTTATTTTTGTACTTTTAACCTCATGACCACCATTCCATGGAATAAATCAATGTAGCTTAACATTTGACCTGAAGATGTGTTTTAACAACATGAAACAGCTGTAGTCAACTAACTACAATCTAAGATCACTTGACGGATACAGGTAATTTAAACCTTTTTTGTATGCAGGAAACAAAAACTGCTGAAAGCTACTACACTTTTGCTGTTAGCAGAAGACAGCGCTGGTTGGAGGGTTTGATTCCTACCTTGATCAGGTCTGGTGTGCAACTAATGAGAATTCCACCCGTCTGGATCTTGGTGGGGGTGGCCCAACATTGAGAAGAATGAAACATCTATATTGTGTTGTGACCCAAGACTTTGCTGAATCTTGGACTAACCTGATATTTGCCGCTCTGCTCCTCGCGGGCGGTGGACAGGTTGAGCATCTTGCTCCACACTTGGCCGCGCAGCTTGTCAGGAACGCCTTTGAACACACGTTTGCGCAACTTGTCTCTGGTAGCGTTTGTGTTCCAGTTGTGCAACATTTTGAGCCATTTCTTGACTCGTTCCACTTCCACTCGCGATTCCGCTGGGTTCTGCTTCTCCAGATCATTTTGGTCCCTAATAACATAGCAAACACACACATAGGTACACAATAGGTATAGCATAGGTACACTTTACAACTTTAAAAACATAAATAGCATTTTTATATGAGGCAGGGATAAACATAGGTGATTGGAGAATGACAGTGATATATAATGGTAATTTTACATCAGTACTAATATTCTTGAAAAGGGGAGATAAATACAATGTGTTTATTTGTGCGCAGATTTTATAAAAATTTGAGCAAAAAGAAAAGTTGGTTTTATGATTGAGTTGGAAAATAAGAGAAAATTTTGACAGTTTTTGGCCGTTTACAAATGTTTTGAGAACATCTTGACTAAGTAAAGGATTGTTTTAACTATAATACAATAAACAATGGTACATAAAAATTTGGAGAGCTGCACTATTTTAAGATCGACCACCAAAATAATTTGTTATACATTTTTCTCAACATTATCTATTCACACAGATAGAACTAATGGTTTAAATCTGTACAACCAACAGCGCCTAATTAGCCATGGTTTTAACAAAATTACCAAATGGAGTCAGTACACTACCCTAATTAGCAAATTAAGATTTCTGTACTAAAACAACACCTCTGTTCCCATCTGCATAAGTATGATTGAAGACAACAAGATGACACTTGATTAAGCCTACACAATTACAGGATTTCCAAAATTACGAAAAGACAGTCAACATTTTAAAAGTAAAACCAGGCAATGAAAACTGGATGACACATCTAATAATTTAAACTCTTTTCATTGTACAAAATCAGTAACATATGGATTCCGTTGGACTTAATCGGAAAAAATCAGATTTCCACATAGGCCTAAGTGGCTTTAACGATTGTAATAAAAAATTATTATATTATATGGTTTGTTTAACTCTTAAACAAAATAGTATAACCCATAATACTGTAAAATTACGGTTCAAAGTAATTGCAATTTTTGTTATTTTACTATAAAATAGCATAGTAACTCTCACCAATTAACCTTTAAACCAGTTGTAGAACGGCTAACCAGAGAAAGTAGGCCTATGTGTCAGTTTGCTGATAAAAGTTGCTGCCATTCATTTTCTGTGTGCACTGATATATGTGGGCCAACCAAACCAAATTAAATCAATCCCCCAAGTATAACACATGATTAACCCCAGAAAAAAGAACACAAATTAAAACCAACCAATTGATGAAAATGAATGGCCAAACAGAAAATATCTCAACCTGGTGAAATGGATTTAGTAGCCTAGTATAGTACACCCAGTAGCATGGTTGCCTAAATACCTTTTTTTAGCGAACTAAAAAGAGAGATTTGTGACTACTCACTGTATGAAGCCGTATCTGTCGAGAACCTTGTAAATATCAAACGTGGGTTCCTCCCAGGAGTCTATCTGCGCGTCCGGTGTCCGCCCCTTCTTGTAGCGTGCGACAATAGTTTCCCTCTCCTCTGCCGCTCTTTGGAGCAGCTCCTCTTGGTTCATTCCGCACTCAACATCCCGCCACCGGCATCACACTCTGCAACACCACGATTAATGTTTTTCTTTGTTGGGCATTATGTTTTTTACACAACTATTGTTCTTGCATTAAATCTTATAAACACCTAACAGACAAACTATCAAATGCCTGCAACATAGGACGAAAATACCCTCACTACAGCAAACCTGCCGACTAAGGAAATTTCCATTTGCCTGGATTGATTTTCAATTAATCTATTAAATTAACATTTATGTTTAACGAGTACTAGGTTAGCTGCTACAGGGAAACTAATAAAGTGTGTTTTTTAATTAAAATATAGCTTGGAATGAAATAAATAAATCCGCCAAGTTTGATCAAAATATATCCATAAACAAGCCAACTACATTTTACAATATTCTCCAAAAGAATAACATGGGAATTTTAAATTAAAATTTTTTTGAATTTTCTCCGTTACCAATCACGGTACAAAAACACTTTGATAATATACTAAATTATTTGTTATTTTAAGTTTTTTAAAAAGGTCTGGAGATAAATTGATAAATAAGTTATTGTGTTTTAAGGGTAAAAAATGAGAAAACCCCATTTTTACCCCATAAAACCCCCCGTTACAACTCCATTCCCATGGTCCGATCATGCTGGTTAGCGAACTCATTCAAGTTTATCCCACCTTACACCTCAAACCAAATTTTTTCAAAATCAGACAAAAATATCTCAAGTTATCGTCTGGACGGACACTTACCTATATGTAAATATATATATAGGTAAGATAGATATTATACATCTATAAAAATTTGAACAAATGGTGTTTTTGGCCTCTGGGGACATCAAAATGAAAAAGTAAATCGGTCCCGGGCCTAGGTCTTACCATGACACCTACGGTAATAGCTACTTCCCTATAGGGGAATTTGCTAAAATGTCTTAATTCATCTCAACACAAATTGAATTTACAGTAGAACTCCAACTACCCAAACTCTTATCATCAGGATTGCAAACTACACCTACTAACTCAAAGAGAAAAATATAATAAATACTGTCGTGGCCTTGTGTGCGCATGCATATTTTGTTGAGTTTGATAATTGAAAAAGGTTGCTTCATTTGATATGTTTATTTTACAATATATACAATTATGAAACATGTGGTTGATCTATATATATAAAAGAGGATGTTTGTATATATATTTGTTTGTTTGTTTGTTTGGGGGTGATAAACTCGGACACCGCTGAACCGATTGCCACGAAACTTGGTACATACGTGTAGAATGTCATGGAATAGGTTTATACACCATCAATTTCGTGATCTGTCCAATAGGCTCCGCCCCAGTGGCTCTGGAGTTTCCCATGTTAACCTTATGAGAAATGGAATTAATGAATCTTAACAGCTGTTTCAATTAAACAAGTTGGTTCTGTTCTATGATGTTCAATAGCATTAAAGTTACAAGGATTACCAACAGGGTGCAGCACTGCCTCTTTCACATCTATTTTTTCTTTTCTTCTTCTTTTTTTTGTTTTTTATTTTTTCTTTTACATTTATGACAACAGCTAATTTGCAACCAAAAAGGTGAAAGAGCGTAGCGAACGAGCTAACCTGAAGGCAAGTGAGCGTAGCGAACGAGCTAACCTGAAGGCAAGTGAGCGCAGCGAACGAGCTCCAACCTAAAGGTGAGTGAGCGTAGCGAACGAGCTCCAACCTAAAGGTGAGTGAGCGTAGCGAACGAACTTCAACCAGGACGTGATTGAGCCATGCGAACGAGATCATCTTGAAAATTAAGAAGTTAAACGGGGCAAAGCCCGCGGGTTACAGCTAGTATACTGTAAATACTGCCAGAAAAATTATGTTCATTGTAGTTTTACAGTATGCAGTTTTCAATAATCCGTTACAAATTTCAATTTGCGCCAATCGTGTCCATCATGTGGCAAATCTATTGTATTTTGTAACGTGTTAATTTTATCATGAGATTTTTAGAGTGCAAATAGCCGATTTAGCTCCAATAACACGAATGTCAATTTGAAAATCCCTCCAACGTTTAGTCAGCGGCTTCCATTAGCTCAGTGCCGGGCGCTCCGGCGCATGCCCGACTGTACCTGCGCACAAGCATATTTGCATACAATTGTGCCATTCTCTCCTGAACATTATGAACATTGTTCAAATATAAAAGTTAACTTTGGACGTGCAATGAATTGTTTTAAGCTAACAGCTAATTAGATAAGTTTATAGTACCGGGGGACCGAGCCTAGCTCGGTTTTGGTTCCAGTTCAAGCATATGTTGTTTACTATAAAGATTATTGTGATACATTTAATATTAATTCAACTGAATAAAGCTGGCCATATTATGTTATCTATAAAAAAGAGTGCATAAAAATTGTAAAATCTACCCTTAAATGAGAGTGAAACATTGAGTTGACGCCAGTGCATTTAAACGTCACCAACACGAACAACACTCATCAATACTTGTTCTATACATTATAACAATATAAGTTGTTTATTTACACTATTGTACTTAAATTCAATGATAAAATTACTCGTTATGACTTTGAATTTGAATTTACATAAAATAAATGTAGTAATATTTTTAAATAATTATTTCACTGCTAAACCAATGTTTGCTAACAATAAATTGCCTCAGTACATTGGGGATTAAGTTTTGATGGGAGAGGGCTAAGAGGTAAAATAATCAGTATTTGATCGGAACTATTTTCCCCTATTCGAGTAATCTTCAATGTAACCATTGCTTTATAGAAATAACTGATGTTTTGTATTCGTACTATATTTTGTAATTTGCTAGTACTGTGGATGGCTTGTTATAAATACATGTTACAAATCTTTTGTTTACTTTTTCCTTGTTAATTTTTCAACCAACATAATTACTTGGTAACTTATATATTTACTTTTTTAAATTTTTGAATGAGTTGCGTAGCGAAATAAAAATTTTCCTGAGGTAGTGGCTGTCACCAATCATGGTTTTAGAGCTGTGAGTCCCTAATTCCAAAATTTAGTCTAAATCCTTCTGCTGGATTTTGAGATATATATTACAGACAGACATAGCTCGTATTAGAGTATAGGATTATATACCATATGATAGGCGATAGGCCTAAAAATAAGGAGACCGGAGTACAAACTCATTCTTCTAATCGTCATGACTTCTTCTTTTGTACAAGTTTACATTGTAAACTTATAAAAACCTGTCCTTTTGTGTACTATCAATGCTGACATTTTCAATTTCCCTCTTAAGACCCTAGACATTTTAAGATTTTTTCCAAAAATTGTGTGACTAATTGATTTATTTGCTATAAATCAGTAAGCTATTTACTTTATTGGTAAACCATTAATTAAAAAATCTCTTTGATTTTGTTGCTGTGCAGATAGTTGATGGTAATAAAACACTCATAGCAATAGTCACACTGTTAGTTCCGCACTTTTGTTTGGTCAGCTCACAGCAACATCAGCAAATTCTAAACTTCACAAGGTCATCAGTCCTTGACCACACAATCAAACAAATGTTTGTTTACCTAGTATAGAATCACTAGAATGAAAGGCAGAACTTTACATCTTCCATCAACTGATTATCTACGGAAACAGGAATACAAAAAACATAATGTTGGTTTTTTAAAATTTAATTCTTGATAGGCTATCTAGGGAAACTAGCAAATAAAACTCAGCATGAGGCATAGGTACATTAACAGAATTCAGATACCTATCTGGAATTAACACAAAATTCTGTATAACTACACAAAGCAGACAAATTAGTTTTAACTATTTCAATTTGTCCATCAGCCTACAATCCTTAATGTGTCTATCAGATGGCTAGAAACTTCAACAAAGAGTGTAAATGGTAGGCCTACATGTGGTTGTTTGTTTTACATAAACTCTTTGATGGCAAATGTTACTTTTTTAATTCTTTATCTTAACTTCTTTACTACAGGTTTCAATGAATGTTGTGTTGAATTTATTACTGACAGGAAACGGTTTATATCAGTTTTGATTTGGTTCCTTCCTTACTAAGGGACTTAGAACCCTCTGCTGTATCCATTGTAGTTTTTTTAAACTCGTTAAGCCTTTGGGTCCGTTACTGTACCTCATAAACCCATGCTAAAAAGAACTATTATCATGTTGATGAGAAACTTAAGCATGATCCAAGATTAGTTGTAGCTCACTTGGGCACCTACACTATCAAAGCAAAGATGGCTGACTCCAATGAAACTGTCATACTACGCAATAGTCTGAATCCTTTCAAACTGACTAAGAAGGAATTTCTTTAAAGTTACCTTTGCCATGACTTTAAAAAAAGGCACATGGACAGACGCTAACGAAGGAAGGATTGCAGGTGCCAGACCCTGTTTTTTACACAATCAGTTTTTGTGGCTTTGTCAAGGGTGCGCTTTTTAAGTGAAAACTACTTCTTTGTAAAAACAAGCCATCAAAACAAAAATCATTTGTGGCCATATTATTAAGTTGCTTCAAACATAGTGTTCAAATATGTTCTGTGACCCTATAAAAAAGTAAATCATTTTTAACATTATATTTTGAAAAAAGTAATTATCTAAAATGTAGACCCACATATATTCATGAAGTAGGCCTAAGGACCCATACTTAATCAACAATGCACTTACTACCCCAGAATCAACTGTATATTGTGTATATCAATAAGTGGGATTTGAGAAGAAGGGTCGGCTAGTAAAACTGTATTCACAAAACAGGCTGGACCTACCCCTAGTACCAGCCACACTCAAATTTCTTCCCAGCATTGCTCACAAGGAGCGATAAAATTGAACAATTGATACGAGAGCTGTTCCTCCTCGGTTTTAACTGATTAATTAACATTTTAATTTAATTGAAGGTTCAGAGTTCTACAAAAGCTCAGGAAATCTCAGACACTCAGATGGAGATATCATTCTCACCTTCTTTAAAGGGTTTTGGAAATGTTGAATAACTTTTAGAACGACTCTGTAGGTCTGACAAGTAGTCTGTGAACGACCACCTTTTAGCAAACCACAAAGCTTTTAACATGGTCGGTTAACATGTTCGGTACATTGTCTTTACTGTATCTACCGCTAATTGGGGATATTAAAACCAGGACACAAGAGTTACGTACACAGGATGAGCAGAGTGCTAGGCCTGACCAGTAGCTAGCCAGTCTGTCTGTCTGTTAGTCAGCTTCATAGCATGTTTTTAAAGCAAGGCATTTACTTTCTTCTACAAGTTAAATTTATTGTATTTCAATGTTAAAGTGTTGTAAATTTAGTATCTATTGGTCTACGGCATATTCATTGATGCCTAAAAACTTATAGTTTGCAGGTTTGCTTATACTTACAGCTAAAAATAAAACTAAAAAATTGGTGATAAAAATTACATCTAGACACCAACATATTTTCTAGACACCAACATATTTTTCAGAACTTGGTAATCTCTGCAGTCAATCACGTTTTAACAATAGCTATTCTTATAATAATTAACACGATCTATACAAGTTTTTGATCAATTTCCCTGACTTTACTTTATTTTCAAAAATTTTCCCTGACTTGCGGCCTTTTTTAAAAACTTTCCCTGACCTTCCCTGACCCTACCCTATACCTGTTTCCCTGAGCTTCCCTGACTTTCCAGGTCCGTGGGAACCCTGAACAATTTTGTACACTTTCTACAGACCAGTGTATTAGGCTAGGCCTATAGAAAACTTACCTAAAATTTAATGATTTGTTTTTAAAACATCACAAATTTAAATTTCCATTACAGAATAACGGCACAGATGTTTTACCTTAATAACTCTTTTTACTAGGCCTATTCTCATTGGAAATGTAAGGAACTTAATTAGAATTCTGAAAATGATAATAATAGGCTAAACTTATAGGTATTTGAAATAAAAACAATGTTAAGTGCACTTATGGACATTTTTCTAAGCAAAGAAAGATTTTGAAAATATCGTAACGTAATTTATCTGTTATTCCCTACCTGTGAGGGTATGGAAACCAAAATTGGTGCCATTTTGTCACCAATAAGTTACTTAGTAGGTAATTTATACATCAAATGTTTTACACTAGCCTAACTTGATCAACCCTGAAAAGTATCTTGACAGCATGAGTTGTTCATTTCTTAACAGTCCGGGTAGCCTATTTATGTCGACCTCCAGTCAACGAAAAAATGATGGTTATTTTTTGCGGAAAAGCACCGTTTTCCCAGAAAAGCGGGAACAAAACTTTTTGTGAAAAAGTCTTGTTGTTGATAAGTTACTCATTTTGCGGAATTTCAGCGCCACTGAGGACTTGCGTTTTAGTGGTCGATAATCGACCAGCGCCAGATCTAGGGTTAAATAGCCTAACATTTTTGGGCGGTCAGGTTTTTTGGAACGTTCCCTCATGTCTAAAATTTACCCGGCCAAATAGCTACCCTAGGCCTATCTTACCTACTAGTAGGTTTAACTTTGTAGGCCTACAACATGACCTATCAGGGAGGCCTATTAACCCTAGCAGTGGCCAATGTTAGAAGTGGGGAATGGCCAACCCATTTGGGCAATTTTGCAGACCTTTTTTTGAAAATTCGTAAAAATTCAACCGTACAAGTAAACCTAGCCAACCTCATATTCATTTTGTTCGGGAAGAACAGGAGAATCTAGAAGTAGTAATAGGCTATAATAATGATTTAGATAGGGCCTAGTGTATTTTTTTGGTAAAGTGAAAGAAATAAATTTGTTTTTTTTTTTTTGTTTTTTTCAAAGCGGCCTCGGTATTTTTTTTCTACGGTTTTTTTATGGGAAATTCATTATTTACATTTTATATACAATCTAATTCCCTACATAGAAAAATATAAGTAACATGTTAGGAACATATTTTTTTATAAGTTTTTGGGGCGAAATATAATAACAAACGGAGAACCGAAAAAATTGAAAACCGTACGGTACATTGTTAGTTTGTGTTGTAAAAAGTTATATAATATATGTGTATACTAATAGATATAAATGTTTGTAAAGCTAATGAAGTAGGCCTAAGGAATCAAAAAAAGTCATAAAGTTTATAGGTAGTAAAAATATTTTTTATTTATAAATAGGCTTAGGTATAATGTTTTTGTATTTTAGCGATTTTGTGAAAAAAATCATAGTATTTAGTATAAAACTTTTGTACCAAATGTTTTTACTTCAAACCAACATAAACATCTTAGTGTATTCAATTACCTACATAAAAATGTATAACATGTTGGGTAAAAATTTTTGTTTTTACGTGCTAAGTTAGGGGCACAGTAATATAAATAAACGGAAAACCTCAAAATACAACCAAAAGAAATATACAACCTTTTATCAACACAATTTGACACTATTCAGTAAATATTCATGCATAATAAAATACACGAAGATCACTGTTATCATACACATACACATTTCCCAACATATACGAAATAATAACGAGTTTAGTAATCAATCGCGGATAAAACGAGAGCAAAAACTCACCGGCAACAACACGCAATGGTGTCGCAATGGTGAATACAAGGCACTTTGTGTATGAGATCTTGACAGTAGTTACACACTTTCGTCGTCTTAGTGAGAGAAACCGAAAAAAAACCCTGAGCGCAGGGCTGCCACTATCACAAGCTACATTTCTTCCTCTTCAAAATGACATAGCCTATTATATGACTAGTAATAATAACTTACACTGTATGTAATTTGTATTTTCCATACAGTCACCTGACGACGGTTGGCCATTTGTTATAAATTTTGAAAACAGCTGTTTTCATGAAATCATAGATAAAACATAATCAATCCTACCTATTTAGTTCTAAAATATCACTACCACAATGAAGATCAAATCAATGGATATCCAGTGGTACCACCCGCAACATCCCAAGACGAAAATTACCTGAGCAGGGTAATGCCAAACAAAACGTGTTTTGCCAGTTCCCAAGGGTCGGCTGCTAAAGTCGTGCTGCACCAAAAATTCATTTGATTTCTAATCGTCGTGACATTGTTATATAAGTTACCTGCTACAGGGTTTGTTTTTGTAATAAAACGAAAGGTCAGAATGTGATCTTTCGAATAGTATAGATATATATTATTCTCATCTGAGTTGACTATAGGCTAAGTGTTTTTTTTACGTTAAAATAATTTCGGCCCATAACTTACCGTCACCAGACGACGGCTGGCCATTCTAAGCATCAACGTCAAACCGTCACCAGACGACGGTTGGCCACTGGTAGGGTTAATTAGTCTTAGGCCTAGGCCTATTATTATTGTAAGGGTAGGTTGTTAGGCAATTTTGCTCATAGGCCTCCGCCATATTTTTTGAGCTTAAAAGAACTTAATGTCCTCTGTGAAAATAAAATAGGTAGACCTACAGTAATTCAATCATAATAGCCTCTAACTGAGCCTAGTATTCTTCTGAATTGTGGATAATGTAGACATGAAACATATTTCGGAAGATGTATAGGCCTAAGAGAAGGGATAAGAAATATAGGTAGGTAATAACTTAAGTTAGGCTTAAGTAAACTTAGGCCTAACTTAAGTTAGGAGACCAATTTGTCCTTCAACAATCAGTGAATTGTTGAGATATTAAAAAAAGCTTTACTGACAATAAACTTATCATCAACGTACGATAATAATTTTAGTTTACTAACTAACCTTAGACATGATCCTCCAAATACTCCTGGCACTGTCAACAGTTTATTTTCACAAACAAAATGTAACTTAGCCACTGTTTACCTTAACACAAATAACAGAATTAACAATCACAAAAGTTGCAGTCTTAATCTTCAACGCATTTAAGAAATTAAATTATATTATAAATATTTCATTGTTTTATTAATTACCACTTAGTTCAATACGCCTACCTAAAATTGGAAATGTATGCCATGAAACGAAAACCGAATTAATTGAGAATGGAAAATAGTTTTTGTGTCAAGTCAAACCAATACCAAACGTCCAAACCATGAGTAGAGTCAGCTGTCGTAACTGTTCATACTACACAGTCTAAGGTGAAAGGAAAAAATAGTACTCAAATTTGACTACAAGCATATGTATTAAGTTGGCAATGAGTATTAAGAAATCAATCAAAACATTTATTTGTGATCCAATTTTTATATCCAAGACCACATTTTGCTTAGTGACCAGCCAAAATCAAAGCGATCAAGTTACATGAACCTTCCTGAGTCATCTAGCACTGATGTAGAAACTAGAAAAACTCATGATCTTATACTTATATGTCATGTCGTCCTGTAATCCAACTGCTAGGAGGTCACGAATTGTGGATATTTATAGGCATGCACTAAGGATGCGATACTCCCTGGTGTGGATTAACGTCCACACGAATGAGTGAGTACTACGACTATCCGCAGTACTAGTGATCCCGATAATTAGACAAATTCGTATATAGCCAAGGCAAAAATGTGGTTCGGATTCTACTATAAACTGTAGTGTAGGTCCCTTAGTTGCCAAGAGCTGTATGGGCTATTAATTAACAGCTGTGTCTAAGGAATGTCAGCCTTGGTCAATGACAAGACTACAAGATCGCGCCACTCATCCTACACTCATCTCCATTCATACTTGGCTTAAAATACCTACTTTGTATGGTCGCCATTTAATAAGAAAGTAAAGTATAAAGTACTTTAAACTTTATACTTTTCATTGAAATGGCGACCATACAAAGTAGGTATTTTAAGCTTAGTATAAAGTCATATGTCATATAGTCGTTTATTCACCAAAATTAACATAAAATGCATTAGCTACGTCAAAAACATAGGTATTGAAATGCTGTACATTTTAAAAATCTCTTTTTTAAAATAAAGCTGTCAACTATGCTACTGTATTTACACTACCAGTTCTAGGGCAAAGAAACTCACAAACGCTGCAGAAGGCATTATCCAGCAAAAAATTCTTTAGTTTTTTCTGATAGGCCTATCTATATTTAAATCCTATTCGGTCTTTTAGGGAAGGAGGAAGGTTATTAAAAAGCTTAACGGCATTCCCAGACAGCACACTTTCTCCTCAGGACATCCCACGGATATTGCGACAGGATATGCAAGATATCCCATAGTGGTCCTATGGTCAACTTGGGATATCACAGGATATCCACAGGAATGCCTAATGTCCCCGCCCGGGGATGTCCTACGGATAAGCTCACACGCATATCCGTGGGACATCCGAGGTCATCCCAGGGTAGTCCTCAGGACATTCTCAGGACATATGGGACTACTATGGGATGTCCCTGGGATAAAGTGTGGTCTGGGCCTGAACATAAAAAACACAAAATAATATAGATTTAGTATGAAAAGCTTAATTATAAGTGTAGTAAATTGATTAAATAGTTAATAAACACAAATTTTGAAGAAAAAAACGAGAAAAAAGTTTTTGGCCCAGACGGGTTTCGAACCTGGTACCTTCGCCTTGAGAGCCTCTTACCTTACCTCCTGAGCTATCTGCGCTTGTTGATTATGGGTGTTTTCAAGTGGTTAAAGAGTAGCCGGCAGTTGCAATGGTCGCAATACTTAAAATATTTTTGATACTACAGTATAGGCTATACAGGGTGTTTTTTTAAAAACTTGCATCTTTATTTATGTAAAAACCGCAATAGATAGAAATATACAGTTTGCGGGAATCATCTATTGACGTAGGGGGCCCAACTGTTTTGAATTTAACGTTACATTCACATTCCCTCCCTTTCCCCCCCTGCCCCCAACTTATTTTTTTTAAATAGCAAGGTACCACTTGTGACATATCAAATGAAAGAACATAAAAAAAGGAAATGTTTGATGAAAAAAAATTAAAAATCGGTTCATAAATTTGCGAGATATTTCCCCCCCCCCTTCCCCGGAACTTGATTTTTTTTAAATAGCAAAGTACCCCTTGTGACATATCAAATGAAAGAGCATGAAAAAAGAAAATTTTTGGTGAAATTTATTTTTCATTTGATATGTCACAAGGGCGGGTACCTTGCTATTAAAAAACAAGTTATGGGTAGGGGAAAAGGGGGGGATTATCTCACAAATTCATCAGCCGATTTTAAATTTTTTTCCACAAAAAATTTTCTTTTTTCATGCTCTTTCATTTGATATGTCACAAGGGGTACTTTGCTATTAAAAAAATAATCAAGTTCCGGGGAAGGGGGGAGGAAATATCTCGCAAATTTATGAACCGATTTTTAATTTTTTTTCATCAAACATTTTCTTTTTTCATGCTCTTTCATTTGATATGTCACAAGGGGTACCTTGCTATTTAAAAAGAATAAGTTTGGGGGCAGGGGGGGAAGGGGGGGGGATGTGAATGTAACGTTGAATTCAAAGCAATTGGGCCCCCTACTTCAATAGATGATTCCCGCAAACTGCATATTTCTATCTATTGCGGTTTTTACATAAATAAAGATGCAAGTTTTTAAAAAAACACCCTGTATATGATTCTGTTAATCTGTTTAGGCCTTAAGTAGTTGAATTGTTTTTCTGGTAGTTGGAGAGGATACTGGTATTTGAATATAGATTATTTAATCACCATTAGATTAGCACTGTAATAATTGACTAGCGTACATGTTGCTCGAATTCGAGCAATTGCAATGTATTACAGGAGTTATTTCAAAACTAATAACAGTCATATTTACAATGAGTTTAAAAGAGTCAACTCAAAGATTACCGGTGTGTAACTCAGACCATGTTTATCTTCGTTATTGATAAACCTAAAGCATTCCGGCCGGTTTTCTCCTTCTCTACTCCGCGCCAAAGTTGGTGGCGGCTGAGGGATTAGGACCGCCAGGTAGGTCGGACATGCTCACCGACCTGGCCGTCCTAATCCCTCAGCCGCCACCAGCTTTGGCGCGGAGTATAAATGCCTCGCTATACAGGCAACACAGGTCATTGATATGGGGCCAATTGAGAACGAAATGTCGTTTTGGGGTAGTGTTAGGGCGCATTTTTAACCTAATAGTTGAGCCTTTACGTGTCACTGTTCTGTAGCTGCGGTCGTTATCACGATTACGCCTCCTGTCTATGTTTCGTTGTCGTAGCGTCGGAGGCATTTAAAAGAAAAAAAACAACAAAAAAACAAATTATAGCTACACAAAACAACGATAAATTCACAAATTTAAGCTACAATCATACTATCACGATCCGCCTTAGGGGTTATGTTTACACAAACTCAAATAGTAAATAAATGTACTCAATGCGTTTCATAGAATTGAAAAATAAACAACAGCAATTAAATTATACAGCTGATCAAAATGTAAACAATTATGTTCTTCATAAGGATAACATGGGAACTTTCAAAGCCACTGGGGCAGAGCCCAAGGGGCTTTTTAAAAAAATGTAAGGCCAGTTTGCAAATTTACGCGAAACGCTCTCTCCAATGAGACGTCAATGGATAAAATCGGTTAAGAAATGGCGAAGGAGTTCAACCGACAAAGTTTCATGTAGCGTATTAATTATATAGATTGTTATATGATTAAAATGAGTTTTTTGTTGTTTTATTAATTTAAAGTTAAATTCACATTCCACACAACTATGATATAACTCTAGTTTCCCTGAACTCAGTGGTAGTAATATGTCAGTAAAGTAAAGTCAACCCTTGCTAGCCATAGTATTAACAAGACATATTTTCAATCTGGGAAACCTTCAACTTTTAAAATAAATTATAAAACCTCAACATCTTAATGCGTGGGAATCTTATTTTTAGAAAAAAAACAGACCAAAATTATTTGTTAAATAATGAAGACGGCCCAATTATAAATTCAGAATTACTGAAAATAATTACATCAAGAACAACACTGTAACATATCCAAAATTCAAAAGATTAATTTTTCTAATATTATTTTTTATTTTTCCAATATCCTTTAAATCATCTGTTTTAACTTTGTTTAAAATTAATTTATTGAGTAAATATTTACTTTTTGTACTAGTGTAAACACAGCCTGAAGATGGAAACCAAGTTTCTGAAAGCACTAGTGAAAAAAACAAATTATTATATATTGGCCTTGTTGAACATTTAAATTTAGATATACTGTACATTTCATCAGTGGTAGTATTTTTTTCTTCAGTTTGTTATCGGGACATTACGGGACATTACAGGATATCCAGTGGATTTTGTACATGTCCCGGGATGTCAAGGGACATTCTGGGATATCCTATGGCATTCGTACATATCCCGGGACTTTACAGGATATCCTGAGGTTAACTTACAAATCCCGGGACATTACGGTATATTGTAGGATATCCTGTGGATTTCGTACTCGTCCCGGGATTTTGCGGGATATCCTGAGGATAGCGCACATATCCCGAGACATTCTCAGGACATATGGGACTACTATGGGATGTCCCTGGGATAAAGTGTGCTGTCTGGGTTGTATTGAAAATTCTTCTGGAAGAATGACGTTGAGTGATTAGAATTTCAATGTCGGAAGAATTACGAAATGGATGTTGTTGAGCTGTGAATAAAAAGGAGATATATTTTTCTGGTGAGGGATAATGTTTCAAAAATGTATATGAATGGAAAGAGAATTCGGAATTTTTTGAAAATGTCTTTGTAGGACTGACGTTTGGGTAGGAGAAATATAATGCGGATGGTTTTCAATTGTTTTCGGAAAAGAAACTTACGTAGTCTTTTCACTTTCACTACCCCAGACAGGGACAGCAGGATAAATATGGATATACAAGACCATAAATAAGCATAGACAGGAGGACTTCTGAATTTACTGTTTGGCTAAGCATACGAAGCATGAAATACCTACTGATATTTTTGTTGTTACATGTTTGATATGTTTGTGGTAGTTAAGATTTTCATTAAGGAACACACCAAAGGAACTTAACCTCTTGACAGGGATGGATTTCATTTTCACCTAACGGTAAGCTAAATG